AAAAAAAAAAAAAAAAAAAAAAAAGAAGAAGAAAAGATCAACTTGGGAGCCGATGTACGCCGATGTTCGGCGAAATCTTAGAACCGTACGCGTAAAACTATTTCTTTTCTTTCTTTTTTCTTTCTTCACGGTCGATACATTGTCGTACGACAGTGTACGACAACAACGTGATGCTTCAGATACGCTCCTCTCACAGCATTACAGTTTTCTCTCGTTTTTTAAATTCTTTCGTCTCGCGAAATTTCCCACCAGCCGAACCGCAAAGTTCCTCGCGATCTCTCTCTCTTTTTCGTTCGTTGCTGCAGTGTCTAGCGTATCTGCGACAGTGTCTTGCGATAGATCTGCTGGTTATATGTACCTTGGTTGAGTGCTGTTGTATGTGCTGGCTGAGTATTGTTTGTACGGGAGCATATATAATCGTGGCGTAAAGAAAAATGCATAATCATGTATCGGTATGAAATACGCGGTCGCTCTCGATCCGAAAGGATCTCGCATTGCGGACCCCCGCTCCTGTGAGAGAAGAGCGAGAAACTGGCCAGTTACCCCTCGTAAGAGGAATGCTCGCCAAACGGCTCGACAGACTTTTGCCCGTTAAACCTTCCATTTCTCGTTGCTGTTCGAAACGGAAAGAAACGAAACGAACGGGAAACGAGTTTACGTGGCGAACGTAAGCCAAGGAATTTCGTTGTCGAGGTAAAGTAGGTCGAGCCTGAAAGCAGATAGAGCGAGCTCGCGGCCAAAAAGCTTGTTTTCATCCGTCGTCGGGACAGAGTACCGATTTTGTTCGCGAACGTGCGTGAGATCTTTCAGCATGTTGGAACTTGGACAGAGAACAGAAGAGAGAATTACACGCGACGAGTATCGCTCGTTGGAAAGTGACGGGCGATGGCCAGGATCTCGCTTCGCGAGGGTTGCGATCGCAAACGGAAAGCGTTTCGTAGCGCGAGAAGAAAAAAAAAGAAAAAAAGGAAGGGGGAAGAAGGGCTCGTGCCGAGAACGTGTGGTTCGGGCCGATCCGAATTAGATCTGCAGCCAGCACATACTCTTCGATGGCGTGGTGGTTGTTCTGCGTGCTGTCGACCTCGGTGATCGTGACCTCGGCGTTCTGATCGTGGCTCTCCCTGCGCTTCGTCGTCTTCTTCACTTTGCGAACCTTGCGCTCGGTGGTCGTGTACACTACACTGTCCACGTCCGCCATCGTGTGCTGCTCGTCGTTGCTTGTTCCGCGCGATTTCAACGATATCTCGCTCGCGAGAATACTCTCGGATGCAAATGGTCCCGGACGGATGGAGGACAAGTGAGAGATTCGACGAACGGTTTTTGATGTTCGAGGAACGGAAACGGGAGGAGAGGGCCGACTGTCGTCTCTGTGGAAATGCGAAACCGGAGCGTGTGGTCGGAGCGTGTGTTCCGTGTGTACCCAGCTGCTTTCGAGCTTGCGAACTGACTGAAATCTAGGATCGGCGCGCTCCGGGCGTCATCATATCGGGACGCTATTTTCGGCGTCCCGACGACTCCAGAAACTCGCCGCGCGCGTCCGCCACCCTCCACTTCGCTCTCTCCTCGCGTCTCTTTCCATCTTTCCCAACTTCATCTGCTCTCCTCCTTTCTCTCCCGTCTCCTCCTCCTTTGCTGCCTCTGCCTCCTCCTTCTGGTCGTCGAGATTCTCGATGCAGTGTGCCGGGTGCAACTTTTCTACGACACCCCTCTTTCTCTCTCCGCCTCTTTCCTCGTAGCCCGTTCGACTCGTTACAGCGGCCCGACCACGACAGGTTACAGGTTCCTGGCGACGTCGCTCCGATTCCTTGAAACCTCGCCGTTTTTCCTTTTTCCCCTGTTTTTATCCGTCTCTTCTTGACGCGGATATTTCTGAACTTTTTCCTCCGTCTGTCTTCCCCGATTCTCGATGACGAGATTCGCGAACGATCTCTCTCGTGGATTGCCTTCCGTTTGCGATCGAATTGGACGAATTGGAAGCTATGCCATCGATCAGACACCGACCATTTTGCTTTACGATCCGACAGGACTGAATGTTTTCATCAAAACTTTACGATCCCCGGTTACGACCAGATTGGAATTCGCAGCGTCTATAAACCATCGTGATTGATAACGATCCGAGAATATGGCGAAAGAGGGATTGGAATATTGTCGATCGTACGCGATCCGTCCGACTTCCTGTAAACGTCAAATCGACCGTGTTGATCAGACGCCAAACAGGTGGTTTCGCGGTCGCGTTGGATTTTTAGGTTGGGGTGAAACCGCGCGAGAAATAGAACGCCCTCCCTGGGGCAGATAGAGAAGAATTCACGGTATAATTGGGTCGGAATGTTTCGCACATCACCAATACGTGCTGGCCCACCCACGTTCCGCATTCTCATCGCGACTGATTCCTCTCTCAGCGACGATTATTAACATTAGATTTACGGCACCCGGGCCAATTTCACGGGTCTCTGATTTTACGCGCAAGCGAAATTGAAACAATTTTTACAATCCTGCAATTTTTGTTGACTTTCATTAGACAGAATACATATATTTTCTTAAACAGCCATCGAGTCGACCAATTTCATAAATAAATAATCCCAACAAATCTGTTTCATTCGCGAAATTGTCACTACATAGTGACAAATGGACAGAGATATTTTTTACTGTTTTGAAATGCAACGACGATATATACTCCAAAACGGTCTCGGTGTTTTTCAAGAGCGTTTACTCCGTACGTTGTATTTATTAACGTGATAATGATATGGTAAACATTTCGTAACTATATATAATAATATCTATATAACTAAGTATAACCAAATTTATGAGTTAATCAATAGTTTCTTTTAGTAACTTTTTTTTACTAAATATAACCAAATTTATGAGTTAATCAATTTAAAAAATAATTAAATCGATCGAGGACTAATACGCGCGGTTTCATTCATTCGTAATACAAGAAACGTCGGTAAATCTAGTATTAAACTCGGCCGGTCGTTCGTATATTCCAACCGCGATTTTAGGCGATTCTAACCGCGCGAAGAGAATCGTGACAGCGCGGCCGTGGAAGATTTAGGCGGCGGTCTCAATTTCGTTACGATGATCGCGTTTTCACGGTAAATCGCCGTTCCATCGTCGCAGTTATTTCAGGAACGCCGGCCGCTTTATAAATAGCTGGAAAATGAAATGAATCGGTGTGGTGGACAGGAGGACGTGATCGCCCACGCGGATCGGAGAATCCGTTACGGCGGACGCGGTAACATAATATCGGAAGAGGGCCGATTAAAAATACAACGCCACGGTATGAAAAATCAGGTCGTCGAAAATAGTGGAATACCGAGGCGAGGCGAGGCGAGGCGAGCTCGACCGAGGGCTTTCAGAGGACTACCCTCGGCTCAAGATCAATTTTTTCGAAATGTCTAAATGACTCGAATATATATTTGCTCGCTCGACGCTCCTCTTACATGGAGCGAAGAGGGAACACGTCTGCGAAAATGTCGCTTTTGAGGTAAACGGGCGAAACGCGAGAGCGATATATACGCACATTATTTGCAGACGGGCGTGAGATTGATATTTTGGGAGACCCCACGCACACGGAGAGGCACACGGCACCAATAAACGGCGCCGACGAATGCGATTATTCCGCATAGCGGGAAAATCGAGATCACGTTCTCTCATCCCCTGCCCCCCCTGTTGCGATTTTCTCCCCCTCTCCCGTAACAGCGTAAAATTCCAAGCGTTTCCCAACGCGGTCTCACGGGAACGCAGCAACGACACAGGAGTGCAAGATCGCCATTGGCCTCGGCCGCAGTCGAGGCTGCAAGGCGTTGCGCAACCGGTTCGTGTGAAATCATCGTCTGCCGACGGTTTTCCGTCGCGTTGGCCAAATTTCTCGATCGGGTACCGATTTCTCGATCAAACTGGAGACACTCGCGCCAGGCGAGGCGCGCGGCCAAAAACGATTCGCCCCTGCGTTTTACGACTTCGTCGCCGTCATTCTAGATCGGATGTTTGACAAACGATTTGGAATTGGCTTGGAATTCGGCACCATCGGTGAAAACACGAGTCTCTCCGTGATTTGCGAGTGTTTGCCATTGTCGACTGTCCCGCGCGAAGATTTATCGTTCGCCAGGCAACTTCGTCGAAAGTCTGAAAATCCATTTTGCAACTTACGATCGTGGTTACGATCGATACGGAGAGCACGAGAAAAAAAAAGACTAGCGTTGCCAAGTGTTACGCGAGAAAGACACGAGATTAAGCAGGGTAAAAGTCAATGTCAATGACTATCTCGCACTTTTTAAAAGCCCGACGAGTTTCGGCGCTTACGAGA